GGGAAAAAGGAAAATTTTGTTTTGAGATAATCTCCTTCTATTGTAATTCCACAAAACCCCCCAAACTTTTAGGAGTTGTAAAATGAGGAATGAATTTATCTATTAAATTTCACATAGACGCTTGGGATTTAGGAAGTTTTCGCACATATAAGAACCTTGGAAGTTCTAGAGGAAGGTTTTCATTAAGAGCATTGTTCATGGACGATACTTTGCAAAAACAATGGCAAAAAGAGTCAAAACCTCTCTTAATGGGTTAAGGCGGCATGGTGAAGTGAAGCTAATGATCATCAGGAAAACACGAGATGATGAATGAAAACAAAGTAAAATCAGAACTGTGCACATAAAGGAAGCTCCAATGATTATATTCGAGAGATGAATGACATGTGTCCTCCATATTTCCAGAAAATCTTAAAAAGATGAAATGTCTCAAATTTACATGACATCCTAACTACACCATCGTAATAAGGAAAAAATATTTTCTTCTTAAAAGTCCATCTAACGATGTAAGAACAAAATATTTGCATATATCTTTGATTACGCAGTTTAACGTGCTTGCTTGGACTCAAGGATATTCTAGAAAATCTGAGAAGAAAAAGGGTCACTTGCCATGTCAGAAAAACGGAAGGGATCAATGACAAGCTAAGTAGCATGGAAACGGGCACGGGTACTGGTACGGGTGCGGGTGTAGGACACGGCAAAACTATAAAATGTAGGGTACGAGGACACGACTACATATATATATTAAATTAATACTGTACATAAGATAACTTTTCCCCCTTCATGTGTCATTAGAATTAAAATTCCGATCACATTTTTGAGTTTCTTTTATCATATTGATTATCGTGAATTGTAAACTACTCATTTTTTTACTAGACATCTAAACGACCCATTAACTATATAGTTTTAAACTTGGGTATGGACTGAAACGAATCCGAACCGTATCTCATTAGTTTCAAAAGACGGATGTGAAGTGTAAGCTAATCGTCCAGGAAGTCTTTGACAAGTGTTTTAAATTAACACATATCATATAATTGAGTACATGTTGTAATAAATACATGCATATATGCAAGAAGTGTCCATGAAGTTTGGGTACGGGAAAGTGTCGGGTTCGTGTCCGGTACGGGTACGGCTTCATTATAGAAGTACCCGGGTAACATAGATGACAAGTTAACATGCACTAGGGAACATGTGATCAGGAGCCAGATGTAGCAAATTCCAAAATACAGAAACATGTACATGATAGGATGTTGGGCACATAACTAGCTTATAATAGGAAAGAGTTACTTTAAAATATTCAATTTATCATTATAACATATTGGAAAGAATATGTCAAGAGAACTATGTTAGAATAGTACAGTTCAATTAGAGATGTTTGATTATACTTAACCCAGAATCCGGCGACAAGTCCAACTAAACATCTACTCAATTGTAATACATAATCTCAAAAACTAGCTTTTCACAGATAAGTATGACGATTTGATGTAGGGCAATCGTGAACCGTCAGTTTGCAGAAATTAGGATTTATAAAAATCTTTTTTTTGTTTTGGAAATATTTGATGCAATTTTTGTTTTAGATAGGATTTCCTTAGGATTTGATGTTAGGATCTTTTAGATTTTATTTTGTTAGAGAATTTATTTTTGTTTTCTTTTATTTATAATTTGATTAGGATTTTTATTTGCTTCCTTACCTGTTTAGATAATTTCTTTTTCTATAAATAAGAAATGTAATTCTCCATGAGGAATAGACTATGATAAATGAAAAGAAAATTTCTTCAGATGTGAAATCTTTGTTAGCATATGAAATGCTAAAATTATAACATGTGAAGTGTCACGGTGTAATGCCCTTGGGTGTGAGGCCTTTTTTTTATCTTAGCCCTCCACTTACAATATTGTTCAATCAAATCCTCTCTTCAAAGAATTCCCACTGTCAGAAATCATCAAACAAGCCACCACACATTTCAACCTCTCGCGCATCTTCGTCAACTAGATTTGACCACATCTGAACATCGAACATCGAACATCGATGAGCCCTAATGAGCTCTTTGATCCGATAGAGTATTGTCGGCAACGGATCTCCTCCAATCGACCCTCAAGGAGTTATGATATCTCTCCATCAAGGCCTTACAACACCTTACAACACGACTCTCGAGAGTTACCGAAAACTTAAAAATCTACCCACTCCTTTTAGATCCCAATCATACTCGAGTACCCGCCAAAATTCACAATATCAAGAACGTCATACTTTCCAATCGGATCCGGATTGATGTCGAAGACAACATATTCAAGAGCCTTCTATTTTCAGATTGGAGCACCCACCCCGATCCTCATCACGGTTCATCCAGCAGTCCAAATTATCTTACTAAAACTAGACTACTAGTAATTCACTCTGATAAAGACTTGGACTATTTAAGATATATATGAGCAAGCACGTCGCACAAAAACTATTGCCTAAAAAACACACACACAATGATAGCTAGTTCCACCGAATGGAAACTGGAAATTGATGTAAACTTCTCGATACTTGATACTAGAAATCTGAAAATGTTGAAACCTTTTTAACAGAATGCAATGCCAAATACAATTCTGTGACCATAGGAAGCATGAAGAGGGTACTGGTCTCCCAAACAGAAAAATCTACATACTATTGTCATTTAATAATATACCAACGCTGCAACATAACTGCGATAACACTGTTTTTATACTAACAAGTAACCACAGAATTAAATCTTGACTCTTGAGAAGAAATTATTTGAAGGTAATAGCATACTTTAGATAGAACTTTATCCAAAATAAACCAGAAACTGGATGGGTCTTCGTACCACTCAACACTAAACTGATGAATCATGAACTTCTGCCGGAGTTGATGCTACATACCGTTATACTCAAGATATTCACTTTAAGAAGAATCCGAGTTCAACAAAAAATTTAACTTGTATATATTTTCATAATACTATTAATCAGGGGAAAGAATATAAAAAATAGAAACACTCAGGATATATTTTCATAATACTATTAATCAGGGGAAAGAATATAAAAATAGAAACACTCAGGATACATATGAATAGTAATACCTTTAGGTTGCTCAACATTTTCACAGTTGCAGGATTGAAGTATAACTGCATAGAAAAAGAAAAGCAAGAACATAAACACTCATACTACTATGTTATTTCTAAATCAATCTTCAATCTGAATTTAGCATAATTCTCTTTGTTATTATATAAAAAGTTAAGATTAAAATCAAGGGCATGACTTTGAACTTTTTATGCTAAGAATATATACCTGCATGATAAACTTTAAATAATTGTTGACGGCGTATAGAAGAGCAGGAACTGCAAGAAGAACATTATTTCGAGCAGCCTACAAACAAATAGCATATTTTAATTACTGCATACAAAGAATGGGAATAGACATCTTCCTGAGACTTTAAATAAGTTATGAGCATGTAAAATATACTAGACATAAAACTGAATAATAAAAATAACAGGAAAACATGCTGCAAGCTCGAAAACATTCAAGAATAGTTGCTCTAAGAATGCCAGATCATCAAATATACAAAACAAAAGTGACGCTTCTCTTAAATCAGAATATACTGAAGATTACATCACAGACTTGAATGTATCAGAGAATCAAGTTCAAAGATGCAAAACAAAAGACAAGAACTCAAAATCTAAAACATTTATCAACTTGCATCAAGGTTTTCGAATTGAGATATTCTCACTCTTAACTAATTTGAACCTGTCTTCTGAAACTAAAATCTGTCAATTTTATGTATTTGAGCTTCTTATAGTAATAAAAACTGTGTTAAGTAACGGACTTGGCCTGACAATGTTACTGTATAATCATCATCAAATTCCCTCATACAAATAAGGCCGATACAGAAGCAGAAGGCTCTAAGAAGGTTGACAAAACTTTACCACGGATATTAACCACATATGAATCACAATTCCATACTTCCATAATATAAGCAGATAAAGAGGGCAGGAAAACAAGAATGTGACAGCAGGGATAGAAGAAAGGACTGAATGTGAAGCTGTGAACCGCACCGCTTTATTCAGTTGAACTCTGATTGCATATCAAAAAGATACAAAAGAAATGGAAATATTACTTTGCTTGGACAAGTTGGAGTAAAAGATGGCCAAATAAGTTACGTCTTTGTGCACACATCATCAGAGTAAAATATACTGATATCTCCAGATGAAAATGAATCCTCAAAGCATCCACTAGAATTAAAAACTTAAGAGTGCATGCGCCTCCAAAAAAAAAGAATGAACCAAAAAGAAAGGAAACCACAAACCAATACATACAAATTTGACTATCATAATCAAATTGCTCCTAAAAAATTAAAATTCTAACAACTACGAACTGAAATATTTTTTTTGTTTATCCGTATTATTAAAATTACTAATGTGACTGTTACTATTATTCAATTTAAGTGGGAATGTACAGTAATACCTAAACCCAAAAACCTGTTTCAGTCTATTTCTTCCATGCCCTGTCAACAGCTTCTAGCTAAGGATATACAGTAGCTTTTCAGGAAACTTTACCAGAAAATTGTTACTTTCATCAATTGAAATTTGACCAAATGCAACTTCAAAAATCCAGTATATCAATGGAGAAAATTTTCAGTTTTCTTTTGCATTTGACGTTGAAATATGTTATGGCTAAGATACATAATGGAATATCATGTACTAGGCATGGAGGCTGGTTGCCATGAGTTATGTGCATTTGAACTCCAGCATATAGGCCTTTATTAATAAAAAAAAATTATATCCAAAGCAAAGAAATACTTGGTAAGATTGTTTGAATATATTAATTAATAGTTGTTGAACAACTTTACTACCTGTGTCAATGTAGAAACTGAAAGAAGAGGTTTCTCTCCAACCTTTTGACGTCTAGCCTGTCAAGAAACAACAGAGAAAAGGCTGAAATCTGACAAATAAATAGAGTGAGAAATACGCACAAAACTTACTTCATGATGGATCTGTTGAAATTGAGAACTACATTGACCATACTGAAGTGAAGAAAGATCTAGTTCTTACTATTAGAATGCTTATTCATTCATTGATTCAAAAACCAATTGTGTTTGAAAAGATCCTAGGATTCTACAATGGTAAGTATAGATGATAAATTGCTACGAATTGATTACTAAAACAGCTGTCATTTATAGGCACAAATACAAGTGTCGTTCCCTGATACAAAGGTGTATCAGGGATGGCAATCAAACAAGAGAAGAACGTGGCTAGACATGTTTTTCTTTGCAAATTCAAATGCTTGATATTCAGCTTGTGCAATCATAAGTTTTATATTCCAGAATGCTAGTCTGGATCAAATAGAGGAGCCAACATATTCATTTAAACTGTATATCACACGTACTAGCACACACGCACTCGCACACACGCATGCAAGCACGCGGACACACAAATATATATTTACATATTACATTAAGAACATTAAACTGACAAGTGACAACAGAAATTAACAAAAGAATTTCATAGATGGTTTTCATTTTTCTTTTACCTTAAAATTAGACACATATGCGGGTGTCTGAAGTCCTGAACAAGAGGTAACCATGTACACATGGACGCACATCATCTGATTGCAGATAGACATGGCTCTATGTTCAAGGAACAAGTGTCCAACGTATTGCAATTTTCTTACTGCAAACAATAACTGAAAAAGGCAATATTCTTTCCGTAATTTTCTGCACTTGTGCAGCCTATCAAATTAAGTCCACACTTTTCTGCTTCTCTAATGTATGCGAACATTAAGAAGCGCATGCTAATATCTGAATTCAAATGATGTACTTTTGTCTTACTCTATGTCGACAGGCATTGAGATATAGTTCATCATGTGAGATTAAATCACATTCTTTATTAACTAAAATGATTGTTCCCTTATTTTTTGCTTTAAACGATATTATTCTATTCCTGAACTTGGTGGCAAATCTTTCTAGTTTTGAAAGACAATCCTTAAAAATATAATTTGTAAGAACATCAACAGGTAAATGCAAAAGTGTAAGCGACTAGGTAGAATAAGAAACTAAAAACAGAAGATGAGACTAGATCAACATGAACAGAGTTGATCCTACATTTCTAGGATCTATGAAGCAGCTAGATAAGAAAAAAATAACATAGTAAAGTTCTTTCTTAAGATTCGTAACCTTCTGTTCATTCTTTAATCACCTCCTGACTATAATAAGTATTCATAGAACTAAACCCATTCCAACTGAAACCAAACAATCTTGTTGAAAGTGAACTTATTAAATACATGGAATGAAATTTAATTTCAATGGTGTGTCAGACACTTCCAATCTTTAGACTCACTGAAACCCCATGCTGACAAAACCCATCCTCTATTCTGGCTTTGCACTTTCAATAGGAAAAACATACCACATTTTCTGGAGTAGAGACTTATTACTTTATTGAACCATAGCGCCAGAAGGTCAATTACTAGTCATTTTCTTCAATAGTGCATAACATATCAAACTAATTTACATGATTTCAAGTAAACAAAGTATAAGGACAGTCAGAAGACCCTACCGTCACCAAAAAATCCAAAGTTGTGGTGAGAGGTGAGGTTTATAATTTTATATTCTAACATGCCCCCCGCAAGTTGAGCGCCCTTTTTTATGGGTTGAACCAGGATTCACGCAGTCATATTAATTTTTAAAAATCCATGTTAAATTCTTGGTCAGTGGGATTCAAACATGGGTCGCTCTGTTACCATGTCAAGAGACCCTGTCACTACACCAAAACTCTGAAGTTGTGGTGAGGGTTGAGAGTTATAATTTTATATTCTAACAAGGATCTTTTCTTAATTTGCATAAATACAAGATATCTGTGTGAGTGACGTTGAGGTTGGATACTAGAACTTCAAAGGTTTGGGCACATTGTTGGTTGACAACTAATACAATAGGAAGAATTTAAGGGGCACAAAAAGAGAAAGGGTAGCTAATTAGATTCTGTATTAAACAAATATTGATGCCAGCAAATAGCAATGAAATTGGAAGTAATAGCATCAGAATCCAGAACAAACCTGGAACAATAGCATGACTATGGCAAAAAGAACCTTTGCAGCTTCTGTCAAGAAATTAACACCGATGGGACTGAACTTGAATTTCCCATCAACCTTAGACATGTAAACTAGAATTGGCTGCAGAAAAGTGAAAAAGCTTAAAGAATTTCACGTCAAAAGTAATAGCAAAAGAGCAGTACATTTTGTGCATTTGCGACACTATGTTTCTGATTGTTTCATTGTTGCCTATAGTTTGCTTGAGGCATTTATAGTATTTGAGACTAAACGTATCAAACCCAGTATATTTTCAAAATATGACTCCACTGTACTTGTACCACATGGACAAAAACTTTATAGACATAACTCTAATTTTTTATTTGATTCACATAGCTGAAATATAACTACAAAAGAAAGGTATTTCATGCACTCCTACTAGAGACTTGTCATTGCAGTAGCATGTTATTAAATTGACATATTGCACAATTGACTGTCAATGACTAACTTAAACTGATTTAATATCTAAGATAGTAAGATCCAAGCTCAGTTAGTCAAGCTTAAGTAATGGGCTCAACAAAGTCTAGCTATGCTCAAGATTGTTCATTTATTACCGACTGATAATCATATTTTTATTATAATTTTATACCCTCATTATCTATTTTACATGAATAAATATACCACTAATAATTGTTTTTATCTTTAATTGTAGATTAATGAAGAAATAATGAATAAAAGCCCAAAAGACTCCAACTTCCTCATTTTGTAACCTTTTATTGAAGCCCAGAATCAAGCCGAGTAGCCTGAAGCCGAAGAAAATCAAAAATCGAATATAAAAAGAAATCATATTCAAAATGGTTGGCCGCAAAGAAACAACGATATCTCTCAATCCGGAAGGCGGAATTTAACATATAATATATGAAAATCGCCTATCTCGACGAGACAAAGCCAACCGTGAAGTCAAAGTTTTTATTGGAGCATCCATTTTCAGCCTTTGATGCATAACAGAACGTTTGACATAGATGGGGCATCGATGCCGGCATCGATGCCTGCATCTATGTCAAACGTTCTGTTATGCATCAAAGGCTGAAAATGGATTGTTTTGGATAAGATTTCTATCCAATGGCTCACATTCACTGATATTTACTATAAATAGGGGTAGAGAGTGAGGGGTTGGAGGTGTGAAAAATTTTTGTAACTCTATTTGGAGAGGATGGTTACTCTTAATTGAGAAGACCTTCCAAATTTGTAACTTTTTGTTACAATTAATAAAAGAATTTTTTTCACCACTTTAAAATTTTCTTTTCTTCTCTTTGTTGGATGATGAAGATGGAGATCAATTTGACGGTTTGTTTTTATTTTCTCTTTTATTTCTTTTTATTGCTTATTATCTTAGATTTATTTTCATGCTTGTAGTTAGATTTTATTTTCTTGCTTAAATAGCCAAGAGGCTAGAACCCTCTTGCCTTATATTTATTTCATGCTTATAGAGTAGATTTATTTTCTCGTATTTAATTCTTGTAATTTATTTTGTAGTTTAGTTTTTATAATTTATTTTATAGTTAGATTTTATTTTTTTGTACTATTCACCATGAGGTTAGAACCCTCTTGGGATTAGTTTTTTTCTTTTTGTTCATTTTTATTTTCTTTGATTCGCCTTGAGGCTAGAACCCTCTAGGGAATTATATTTTCTAAGAAGTGGATTCAATTCTAGATTTCTCATATCTTTAATTGAATCCTCCATCTTTATATTCTTGAATTTTTTTTATTCTTGATTTTTTTTGTTTCTTGATTTTATTCATTTTTCTTTCTCTCCTTGTGAAAATCATTCATACTTTGTCACACCCACTCTCACTTACATTTTGTGTCTATTTACACACTATCACTTTCACTATCTCTCCACAATTACATTCACTCATCACTCCTATTTGTCATGCACACAACATAAGAACCTATTTTAATTTTCTCCTACAAAACATCTTCCTCGTGGGATCGATAACTTTTTATACTATAACTTGATTGATTGTGCACTTATAATTTTTGGATATATGTTTATACCGCATCACTGACCTTAAATTTTTGTTTGAACTTGGTTCACTTGGATTATATAATGAGCTTGAGCCAAGCCTAGATCTTCCTTTTTCACCCATTAGTACCCCTAAATAGACAAATAAAAATCAATAAGGCATACTTAAGTGAACCAAGTCAGCCTGAATTAATGTTAACTTGATTGATTGTGCACTTATAATTTTTGGGTATATGTTTATACCGCATCACTGACCTTAAATTTTTGTTTGAACTTGGTTCACTTGGATTATATAATGAGCTTGAGCCAAGCCTAGATCTTCCTTTTTCTCCCATTAGTACCCCTAAATAGACAAATAAAAATCAATAAGGCATACTTAAGTGAACCAAGTCAGCCTGAATTAATGTTAGGATCCATTGAGTCTCACAATGACAATACATGCAATTGTGATATATAAGAGATTCGGGTTCCTTTCCTACAACAGCTAGCTTTTAGGAGTGAGTTATCCTAGTCATCTTACAAATGGTACTAGAGCTTGCGAGCAGAACAGTGTGGGTAGTGATGATCACATTGCAATGTTTGCTCGGGAATAGTCTACTGCAAAGTCAAATGCTGAAAACCGGATTGCCGGTGTTTTGAGACTAGTGAAGCCAGCCTATGGATACACCGATAATGCGACATGGTGGTATGGTAAGATCTATATTGTCCTAGATTGACTAAAACAGAAGTTAATTACGGAAAGATATTTAGGTTCCCTTCCTCTAACAACTATCCTTTAGGACGAGTTCTTCTAGACCACTTACACTAAGTTATACCCCGCAACCATAAATATGATAAGCTCACACCACATGATATCGAGTTAACGTGCATTACATATGATTTTTTAGAATTACCTGAAGCCCAACCAAGATGCAGTCTCCTACAACCAGAAGGAAGTTCAAGGCCCGGTACTTCTTCGATATCTTGCTTCTGTGCCTGTCATATGCCTTCGAGATGGCCCTGGGGCTCGGCACCAGCAATTTAGAATGGCAGACGCTGCATTCTACCATCCCGTTCTTATTAGGCATCTCTAATCACAGGCCTTTGCCCGTTGAACGATTATACCCAAATTTCTGAAATTTTCACAGACAAAATCAAGGTCAGCTCCAAAACAATCTTAGCTCAAAGGGAGCACCTTTGACCTAAAACTGCTGTTTTTCATCAAATATAGTAACCAACGCACTCAGCAAATCAAACAAAAACGAAACAAAAGAGACATCGATTCTCCTCATCAAATTAATAGCAAGAGATCTAATCACGGAAAACAAATTCGAGAAATCGGAGCTTTATCCTACAATTTCTCAGATCCGGATCATAGATCTCGAGCCAAAACTGGATCCAATACCGCCGACGACGAGATCTCAAATTCTCAAAATAGGACAGCTGAAGCCGTTCGAAGAATTAAAGAATTCTTTTTTGCGAGATCTAGATGCCGAAAATAGAAAGGAAATTATGAGAAATATTGAGAGAGAGGACAATGAGTTTATAAATAGATAAAATCTTAAAGCGTTTCCTTTGCTTAAATTTTACATCATAACAACAACAACAATCGTCTTTTCGTGCGACCTTTTTTTTTTAATTTTTCCCCCTTTTTTTATGTCTTTAACGATCGAATTAGAACGCGGAACGCGCTCGTAGTGAAATACCGGTATTGCCCCCAGAGCTGTGTCTGATGGTGCTCTGAGTGAGTTTGGGGTATGTAATTTAGTTTGGTCAGAGAGGGTATAAATGTAATTCGAGTGGCTCATGTTGGTCCCAAAGCACACACCGACGAACTCCTCCACGTGACGGGTTTAAGATCTTTGTACAGAGGTTATTACCTACAAGGCACACCACCAACCACACTCCCTCTCTCTCTACAGTGCAGGGGGCCCCACATGTGATTTTTTAAAAATTCTTTAAAAAATCTGATTTTTTAAAGATTTTTTAAAAAATCACATGTGGGGCCCCCTGTACTGTAGAGAGAGAGTGTGTGGTTGATGGTGTGCCTTAGAGTGTGCATGTAGCACTTCTCATCTTTAAAATAGATAATCCAATAGGAATCACTTTTGAATTGAGTGACACTAGGGGCACACCCCCAACCACAACTCCAATCACACCCTCTCTCTCTTTTGCTATTGTGCACCGTGCCTCACATAGGATTTTTAAAATCTCATGTGAGGTCCGGTGCACTGTAGCAAAAGAGAGAGTGTGTGTGGTTGGAGTTGTGGTTGGGGGTGTGCCCCAATCATTTTCCTTTTGAAATTTAACTTATAGATGAATTATTTTAAAAGTTAATTTATCTTCCAATCACCAATCTATCATTTAATTTTTCACTTAAAAACAAGAAATAATCTTTAAAAAATATTGTTCATGGTCTAGTTAAGATACAATTCACATATCATGGACATGGATTTTTTAGGATTACTAGGTGAATTGCACGTGGCACATGCAATGCACGTGGTATAAATTTTTAGATTTAGCTAAAATTGATAATTTAGTTTAGCATTTCACTCTAATTTTTACATTGAATCCTTTTAAGTTAATTTGGAGTTAAACAAACATATGATAGCCTAGTGAAGACCAAGGAGCACTAATCTTATATCACTATTAAAAGGATAATTATATAGTAAGATTTAGTTATATTTTCACATGTAAGATTGGTTTATTAATTTGCCTTCAAGAATTTTCAGATTTTTATTTTTCAATGTACAGAAGAATATAAATCAAAATAGTTTATTATACTTATTTCTAAATGCATATTTTCTCGTAAACGGTGTATCAAATTGTTAATGTTAGTATGTATAAAGATTATTTAACTCGGTTTCAAATCTTTTCAGTAGATAAATAAAAGTATAATTTTACAATTGACAGTTTTATTCATCTTTATAATGACAAGAAAGGAATTGACGCATGCATGTTCTGCACAATTAAGCAATGAACAAAATATCAGATTTAAACACAACTCTGCATTATAATGTGTTTCTCAAGTTACCTCTCCGTCATGTTCTAGTATAGTGTCTTTAACAACATCAACTAGCATTTCAATGGACCGGCAAAAGACAAAGATGCATAGTCTTCTTCTAGTGTCAAGTCCTTGTACTAAAAATGATAATAAAATTTGTCAATCAAATGTCATATTGCAGAGTAAACAGAAAGATAAATTAATACATGGGGCGCTACTTATATTTATTGCAGCAATATTAAATAGGGCACCAAAACAAAGACCTTGATCAGGATCCATGTAATCACTCTCGTGAAAATGTTGAAGTTTATGTGACGATTTCGATCTCCCTTTCCACTTCTACAGAAGCATTATAAGAGTAGGTATCTCCAACATAAAAGGAACGTATGAAAAAAATAGAACTCCAAATAAATGATGTCAAAAGGGAGAAATTAGAAGAATTTTTTGAACCAATTTGTTAGTCAATCTAACTATTTAACTGCATCATAAAATCTTTTTATATTATTAAATTCATGTGTTAAAGAAAACAAACAAATTAATTGAGGGAAAATGCCTCTTAAAAAATATCACCTTTTATTTATATGAACATGTGTGTACAAGCTTCCCTTTCTACAATGATTCATTACCCTTTTTTGATGTAAAATATCAGCAAAAATATTCCAAAAGAGATCTAGTAGTAACACGTGAGTTAAATAAATTTTATGATATTGATAGAAAATTTTAGCATGTTAAAATAACTCTATTGAGAAAAAACTTTTCGATGAACAACCTTAAAATTCTGAATTTTTGAATAAATACCTAATAAGTTCTCAAGAATTTGAAGGACTTCAAGTGATTAGCAATCCATGGTGTATTTCAATACAGGCTAGAGTGAATTTCAAAACCTCTTTTAAAAGAATCAACATCTCCAATTACTTTTCCAAATACATCACGTTACATGGCTCCTTCATGCTTGCTGGTATTACAGGCCCATACATGAACAAAAAATTTGAGCCAGTTAGGAGATGATGATCTCAGATATGTGTTGTATCAGTTAGTAACATTTGTCTCTTGAATTGTTCTTATCTCCTATGCTTCCAATTTTAAAGCTTTACCAATGTTGCAATGTGGTGCATTGGGAATTTAATCTCCTCACTACTTTCATTAGGTAATAGTTGTATTTTATCATACCTTTTGTGCATTCTTTAGGTTTATGAGGTTTTAGCAAATCTGAATAGGATTTGGAAAACTTTAGAAAATGGCTATCAAAATTATTCTATAGACACATACATGAAGTTTAACGTGAAGAGTATGTTTATTAAATCATTATCACACTTAGTTGTTGTCGACTAATATGGCATGCTAGTGGTAGTACTATGACCATCTTTCATTTGGTATATGTTAATCATGTGATACTAACATTTTGCAAGTATAACATTTTGCTGTATTACATACCAAATAATTATAGTATGTTGTCAAAACTATGGGGTTTGAATCATGTACTTACAATAACAAAAAAGAAAAAAATTATACATCTAGTTAAAATTTGACATTTTTAGGGACTATCATTTTAACATTATGTAAATATTTACATGATGAAGAAAAAGACAAAACAATGTCAGTGTTCCAAGTTTGTGTTATAGAACTGTCATAGCATATCAAACAAAGTTTCCTATGACTTTACTCATAGCATGTAGAAGTTAAAGTTAGCTATTTTGAGGTTGCTAACCCACTAAACACTTAATATTCAATCCTAATTTTTTATTATGCGTATTCAAGGGCAAATTTTTTAAAATTTAGGATATTAGTGATTGTCTGCATGAGTGCTTGCATGAGCCCATTGATGTGTGGAATGAGCTTATGTTTGAAGTAAAGATGAAACTGTTAGGTCTCATATTTATAAGCCTACTATCTAATCTAGTTTTGATGATTAACAAACAATTCCTAACATCAGTTTGTCAAGTGTTTTGTATTTACTTGTTAGGTATTCTACACAAAGATTCTAGTTGGAGGGTTGGTTGGATTGCACCTACATGATCATATTCATTGGAGGATGGAAGGAATTTAGAATGAAGCACGATACAATTCAAGTTTAAGATTCTCGATTGCTTCATCCAAACTACAAAGAGGAGGATTGCCCAAGATCAAGCCTCATGAGATCATTTAGCTTGAGTATATCAATTAGTTTAGTATGTTTATACTTCGTGTGTTTATACTTAGAGCTCAAATTATACACACACATAGTTTATGTTTTATTGCCTTCAAGTTTAGCCATATAAATATAAAACAAATGGATATGACTATATACACACATATTTGTTTTATATTTATATGTGCTTGAAATTATTTTATTAAAATCAAGCTTTAACAATTTCAAATCAATGAAATCATGTTTATCGTTTTTATATTTTTGAAAGTTTGCACAATATGTGTTTACAAATTAAAAGACTCGGTTATATATTTTATACGGTCTATTAATCCATTCAAAAGAAGTTTCAAACTTGTTTGAAATCATTTTGTCAAAATCATGTGTTTTTGAGATTTTATATTTTGACCAATTTTACAAAATGATGAGTTTTTACAAATGGGAAATGCAATTTAAAAAATTATTTTTGTAACATGTTTATTTTCATGTTTATAAACATTTTCCAAAGTTCTATAATTTTTAGAATTTATTTGCTATTTATAAACCCACTTCAAAGTCTAATTTTACTGTGCATATATGTCATTGAACATGTTATCAATCGACTGATGAAAATCATCAGTTGACCGAAGAGTGCGCTGGAAAAGCAAAAAATTTCTGCTCAGTCGACTGATGAACCATCAGTCGACCGAAGCAAGTCATCAGTTGACTGATGAGTTCATCAGTCGACCGATGAAGATTGAGCTGCCTGTAATGGGCAGCTCATCAGTCGACTGATACTGTTCATCAATCGATTGATGGCACTCTAATGGCTAGTTTTTCCAGTTTGTTGATTTTTCGGGTTTTTATCTTTTTTTCTTGGATTTTCTTGGTTTTTAGGCTTTGTTTTGTGAACCTATATATACCCCTTACCCTCAAACTTCAGAACTAACTAAGAAAAAAAATCAAGTTTTGGGGAAGTTTGTTTAAGGGGTTTTTAAGTGTTTTTCAAGTTTGTTTGTGTGAAGAGATTTTCACAAGAGGAGGAGATCATTTCTTTCGTGTTTGGGCTTCAATCTCAATCTCTCTCACTCTTGATTTTCAGAGAAGTTTTACTAAACTTAATTTCTAGCTTTATACATATATTTGTTGATTATCAATTTCATTTAGCTAGATTTTAAATTGAGTTTACATTTCATTTTACTCATTGAATGCACACACAATCCTTGAGCTTTTAGTATTTTCACATTAAGTATAACTTGGGTTGTGGTGAGTGATTCCTTGAGTGTGAGATTAATTGTGTTCTCATCTTATTTAGAGAACAAACACTTTGTATTAGAGCTTTCATTGTTGAGAGTACACGTTGTAATACACAAGGATACCGAGAGAAGTGGTTGGTAAGAAATAGGGTCAATTCCAAGAGGAGTGGCATTGGTAGAAAGCCTAGGGAGAGGTAAACGTTTATCGTTGAGCGTTGAAAACCGATTGTGTAGTTTTTTGTGTTGATAGTGGAGATTCTCCTT